TTTATAAAAAGGAAATATTATGTCGTTTAATAATTCGCACCTTCCAAAGCCTTTCTTACGTCGAGAAAGATCAAGACGTTAACATCTCGTCTCATACCTGAAGAAGCACGTCAAGATTATCAACACGAGTTAACAATTCACAAGATGATGTCATCCATTAAAACAAATACTTTGATGAAATTCACAGGATATTTTGTAATAAATAGACTAAAAAGTAAATAAACAAAATGACAGACTGCGTCACGTTGTTATGACCGTCAAATACTTACCACTAATAACTTCTCCATCAGTTGGCAAGCCACATGAAAAATGGACGTGTAATCTCTTCATACGCTTGAGACCCCCTTCCAGAATTGACTCCAAGTTCTTCTTATAGGTCCCATGCACGCAAACTGCCCATAACCATGCATAGGAAAATTAATTCAGATGCAAAAAAAACAGATCTCACGTCTCACTTTAGAGTGCGTACATACAAAAGCTGTAGTTAAAATTACAACCTTGAACTTCTTCAGCTGACAGTATAGGTTTAAGCAGACTCTCTGTTTCAACTATCTGTCAAAAAGCATTCAGAATAATTAAGTATAATTTTACTAAAACACACACAAACACAAACACAACAAAGGCACGAAACTAGGAAAAATGCTGAAATAACAATAAATTTATAGAATCAGCACTTAGAATGATTTAAAGAAAAAACATGTTTATAAAGGATAACTTGGGGTAGTGAGCAGATATAGGGCTCGTTAATGTTAAAAAATGTAATCCTGCTTTAAAAAAAAAGAAAGAAAAATAAAATTGAAAAATTGACGGCGCAGAACATTTTACATTACACGGGGATAACTCCCATAATCATTTTCCTTTAGATACTTTAACAATTGCACACACTGCAGTAATTGCAAGCATACAAAAGTTTAATAACCTGTATAGTGTGGCCTTGATTCGCACGTATTAGAAGCTCCCCATTGTCTTCCAATATGCTAAACCGCTGCTTGTTGTCCCTCCTGACAGCCTATTAGAGTACTACAAATACAAATAAAGTATTTCCAAGCATAAAAGCAAGATAACCAGTACCGAGTAGCATTCGCATTAAACAACTTAAAAGTGTAGGCACGTCAAAAAACATGGAAAGTTATTTCATTCTACTTTTTCCAAGTATAGGTGACGACTTACATACCAATGATTCACAAACATATTTAAGGATTCAAAGGTGTCAGTTTTGCAATATTGTTCTGAGTAAGGAAAGTCAAATGCGAGCGCAAATGTGTCTAAAAGAAGTCTAATTAACGAACATCCAAAATTAACAAGTGCCAGGTGTCAAACCTCTTTAACTTCATCGGCAGTATGCGACCGAAGTGGTATATTAGCAAAAGTTTTAAGATTCAGCTTCAGAAGGTCTTGCACCTTCACATATCCATCACTCCTCATATTTAATTTTAACTCAAAGGCCATGTGTCTCAGTATACGCGTTCTGAAACAACAGAATGTTAGTGAATTGCAAATAGAGCTATAACTCAATCGAATTGGTTGCAAACATCAAGAACACATATCTATTTCACATTTTAATAACTGACGAAGATTGACTGAACCTTAGGAGCTTGGACCCAATAAAACTCGTACCAACATTCGAAAATGTAGATCGTGCAATACACACTCATATAATCAGAAACTTCATATTCCAGCAGAGGGCGATAATAACTAATAGACAAGCGCAATTCAAACTTCATAAACACTATAGAACATAAGCAGAAAAGCATGAAAATTAGTACAACTTCAAATGGAACTCAACCTGCAATTATGCACACCAGTTTATAGCCCAATGACAACATACCCAGTTGTCTTAAAAATCACAAAAAACCTCCCTTAGCATATATATTTTATACAATGGATAACTTGTTTTGAACAGTCCCTATAATGCAAAAAATGCCTTTGTAAAGAGCTTACAGTAATCTGCCAAGAGCATCAATTTTGTCATTCCCAGAAGAATCCCTGCCGCCGCCGCCGCCGCCTCTCGAACTTTGTCCATATTCTTTCCTCCCCAATCCTCTGCCTCGACCCCCACTACAACAGCCAGCAATCACACAGTAAAAATTAATATTAATATTTTTTTCCCCTTTACAAAAAATTAAAAACACAACAACAAATAAGTAACAAAACAAAGGGCACATGTTATAATCGGCGTAAACCCTATGCTTAGCTAGTATTCAGCCGTAGAAAACAAGAGATCCCGGCGGCGGGTTTAGGAAAGGAAGGATTACTACCCTCTGCTAGAATGGGCGGAGGCAGTGAAGGAGGATTTTCCGGCGTAGGGATTGTTTGGAATCTCCATGAATGTCGAATTTGGTAATCTGGAACGCAACAGAGGAATAGTGTGGCAGAGAACAGGCGGCGGTGAAACAAGGCGGTTGCATAGGATTCGTAACCCAACGCCGGTGAAGGAAGCCAACATAAAGACCGCAAGTTTTGCTTTTTTTACATACAATACAGAATAAATGATTTTTTTTTTTTTAGTATATGATATTTTAATATTTTAGCCGTATAGATATATATTTTCAAAGTACAAAGTTTCATTAATTTTAGTTGTACTACATAATGAAATAAGATTTAAGGCTTGATTGTTTATGAAATAATTTGTTCAAAATGATTTATTTTTGTTACTCATAGTTAATTTTGGAAAATGTGGTATAGTTAGTTGTTAATGAAAATTTTAATAATGTATTAAAATAATATTTAAAGTAAAATGATTAAAATTGATCTTGATGTAAAAGTATGAGAAAAATGATTAGAAATTATTGGAAATGATAGGTAGTTAAAATTATGTGAGTAAATAAATAGTGAATTAAAGTTGACGTGGTGTGTAAGAATGGTTGATTTGTATTATTTAATTATATATTTAATATTAAATATAGTGGAGTTGAGTTAAAGTTGAATTAGATTTTGAATATGAGATAAAGATGAGTAAATTAACTCATAAACACGCATGCTCTTACTCTCTTCATACCAGTTTGATCTCGACTAATAGAACATTTAACACCTAGCACAGTGGGCTCAAAATGCCCAAAGAATAGGCATACGAACAATAGATTTTCCAAGCTGATAAAATGAAGAACATGTCCTCAGATGTCAAACAGGGACCCAAAGGCCGAACAGGCCCTTAAATGTCGAACAAGTCATCAAATGTCGAACAAGTCATCAAGGCCGAACATGTCCCCAAATGCCGAACATGTCCTCAAATGTCGAATAGGGCCCCAAAGATCGAATAAGTCCTCAAGGATGAATATGTCCTTAAAATACCGAACAAGTCCTCAGATGTCGAATAGGGCCCAAAGGTCGAGCGTGTCCTTAAAGGAGGATGTCGAACAGCGCCCCAAAGGTCGAACAAGTCCTTGGATGTCGAATAGGGCCCCAAAGGCCGAACACGTCTTCAAAGGAGGAACAAGTTCTTAAAATACCGAACAGGTCCTCAGATGCTGAACAGTGCCCCAAAGGCCGAACAGATCTAATGCATCACTAAGAATAGCTCATCAGACCGACCTAATCAGGTAGCTCGACTAGGTTGGTCTAAGAGAGCTCTAGTATGTTCAAAGTTAAGCTATTCGGTCAAGTAGCTTGTGTGTGAGATTAAGGTATTGGCCGACCTGAAGAAGACGACATGGGGGTGCCGACCTCCAAGAGCCTGACAACATAGCCAACCAGGGGTATCAAGGTCATACGACATGAGGTCCTAACTATAGATTCCAATGCGTTAGGATTTAATTTGTTAGATTCGAATATGTATATTGACTTCGTTCCTAATAGAACCACACAGATAGTCGGTTTCAAGAATACTTGCAAATAGGACTTATTTGCAATTCTAATCTACTAGCAGCACTCGAACACAATTAATTCACAAATGTCATGCAAGTCCTAATTAGAATAGTGCACAAAGAAAAATTAGTCTGAGATCTGATACTAGTTGTTGGGTTCTATGAGGAATGTCATCAATGTACACATTTGAATCTATTAAAAAATAAATCCTAATAAAGCAGAATCTATAATTAGGAACAGGATTTACGGTCTATAAATATTGTTGACTCTACGACGTTTCTGATTTTCGCTGTTGGTGATCGTCTGAACCTTATAGTCTGTTGAGATATCGAACTAGCCTCTGGATTTTTGAACTACTATAGGACCGTACCCGAGCTTCTGGGAGGTGGTATGGACTCTCCACGACTTCCTTGGTGCGCATACGTGTCGACTAGGGTCTGCTGTGGCCTGGTTGTAGAGACTGCAAGGTCTGGTCGCGCTGTTGTCGAGGCTCGCGCGGTCTAGTGTAGTTGTCGCTGAGGCCCGCGCGGTATGATGCTCTGGATTCTTAGGTCATGTTGCAGAGTTGCTGGGAAGCACGAGTCACGCTGAAAAAATATATGGATATGCTGTGAGGCACGCGGGTCGTGCGGTGGGTTGCGTTGGGAGCACGCAGATCTCGCTCCGGCTCGCACTGGGATGTCGCGGGTCATTTGAGAGGGACGCGAGTTACCTTTGGAACGCTACTCTCTGCTCGTGCGGGTCGGGCGCTATCTCCGCGGATGCTGTGCGGTCTGCGTGTAACACCGGGATGCTGCGGGTTGCGTTTCCTGCGTGCGCAATCCGCCTTAGTCGCCCTGTCTACCTGCACGGGCTATGAGAGGTCATGCAGGGGCGGTGCTCGAGTGGCGCATGAAGGAACGTGGGGCTCCGCCACCATTGCGTACGACTACGACTAGAACATTTGATGACACCAGTGGATGCGACTATCTCCGGTGGTCGTGCTCTACATGATTCGTGGACGTCTGAAGTGCTGTGGGGCTGTATATATTCAACGGGATGCACATATATATTCGCCGGGATGCGAAATAACAAAACCTGGGGATTTTATGTTGTATGACCTTTACACTTTCTTTGAATCGTATTGGTGGAGCGACTAAACGGAACTCTTAATGCCTTTCGATTTTCTCTCCTAAGACCTCTCTATTTTATCCGAATTTTGCTCAAGAAGAGAACTCTTATTCTCACATGTAATCTCACGTTAGGAATATTGTGTTTAACGCTAGGGGATTTATTGTATTTATAGGCTATAACAAAGACTTTAAGGAGGGGCTAAATATGTACTTCCCAATTAGGAATAGAAAATGTTGTGTTCAAACCTTGTGTTCACACATTGCATTCACACCATATTCTTACTTGAATAATAGAACATTCCAATAGATTTATATTATTGCACTCTCCATTTAGCTCTGAATTATAATTAATTCATTTCCTGACTAATTGTTCGATTTACCTCTCCATGTTTAAGATATAACGTTCGTTAGTTAATTTAGTTACTGACAATATAATTTATCAACTTCTTAAACTGAATGTAATACTACTCAATTCTTTATTACTATGTCAGAAATTAATCTATCAGTCGGGTTTAACATAATAATCGTTCTTGAGCTCATTTTTGGGACGTCATCACACCGACAAATCGGGGCACGGTGACAGTACGCAATACTAATGGCACATCATGTAAACAACATCACTTACCAAAATATAGAGTATGTCAACCTAACGGAATATGTATCACCCTTGGTAAATCAAATAAGTAAGTGCATATGCCCGTTTAGTGTCTTGCGGATTAAAAGAACACATCGATTAATGGTTCTAGATTACTTACTTGGTCAACCGTTCAATACATCCGCGATGTACCAGTGTAATTCGTTAGTCAAAGTTCAACTAACTTGAAAATCACACTACAGTCCTCTGCGACTGTTAGTTCAATTATGTTTGGGCCGTGAACAAATATTTATATTTTACAAAGCACCGATATTATGATCTTTTTGTTCGACTAAAATCAAACCACATTTTCTAGAATGCAGAATAAATGAACTATGTTCACATAAAGAGTTAAACTACGAAAATTAACTTGACTATAGACACGCATTTCATTCAAAATGAAATTGGGAGTAATCACAAAGCCGAGTTTCTACATTATACGCCAACAAGATCGACCTTAACGGTTCTTTGGTAGATCGACACTGGAAACTTGTTAATGAATCGGCACAGATGTTCGCCTAGGCCTACAACCTATGGCTGGAATAGGTTCGGTAACCGAACCGATAAGAATTTATCAATACCGAACCGAAAGTTTCAGTAACCCCATAATGTAAAATCAAAACTGATTATATTAGGAACATTCATGTTCTGGTTCCTGAAAAAATATATTAGGAACCGGACCGGTCCCAGGCGTATAGAGAGTAGCAACAAGAGGAGAAAAAATATTGTTCCTATTGCAAGACAAGGTTAAAAATTATCATAGCCAGAGAAGGTTAACAAAATAACAAAGAGAACAGAAAGTTATGAAATGTCTCTGACATCCTGTTGCTGTTTGTAGTTTAAGAGCATCTTTAGCCATACAACTATATAAACCTCCATAAATCTCACTTTTACATTTCTCAACATGCCACATCATCCAAAACCTCATCCTTACTCCTACACTCATAAACCTCCAATAACCATAAACCCCATAAACCTCATTTTTATGGGTCCCACATGTCTCCCACTTACTTTTATTTAATATTACACTCTTATATTTTTATTAATATAGTAAAACTATAACTCTATTATTTATTTTTATTAAATGTAAATACATCATATATTTATCAAAAATATATATATAAAAATAATATACTTATATATAATTATATTGCATTATTTATAATTATATAGTGTTAAGTACGAACGAATGTATAGATTTACTAATAAAAATTACAAAACTAGAACTTACATAATGTTGAAAATTAAATTTTGAGTACAAATCTTTTCTAAATATTAATCTTGGGACATAGATTCATTCCAAATATGCTCAATCAAGTCGTGTCGAAGTTGATGATGGATTTGTCTGTCTTGTACCTCAGCTCTTATCTGCAAGTAGCATCGAAAATTTGAAGACACCCCTTAATGCGCCAGCGCTGGTGGTTCCAATTCATCATTACACCAATTGGTAGCTTCTTCGCCTTCGTCCTCGTTTATCATGTTATGTAAAATGATACACGCTAACATAATTTCACTAAGATCTTCTTTATACCAAAAACGAGAAGGACCTCGTACAATTGCCCACCTTGACTGGAGGACCCCAAAAGCACGCTCAACGTCTTTTCTTGCAGCCTCTTGACTTTGCTTGAATTTTTTCCTTTTTGGATTCTGGACATTGAAAGCTTTTGACAAATGTAGCCCACTCTGGATAGATACCGTCTGTCAAGTAGTATCCTTCAGTGTATTGAGTCCCGTTAACCACAAAATTGACCTCTGGAGCTACACCATGTAAAACATCATTAAATAATGGAGATTCGTGTAGTACATTTATATCATTTCATGATCCCGCGAGCCCAAAAAATGCATGCCAGATCCATAAGTCTTGTGATGCCACTGCTTCAACCATAATCGTGGGTA